CCAGGCCCAGGCGTACTGGTGGTGGTTGGCGTGGCTCAGCGCCGAGGCGCTGGCCTTTCCTTTCCTAATGCACATCAAAATCTCAGCCTGACGATTGGATTGCGAGAGGCAGCTTTTCATGCTCTGGCCTTCTTGCTCCCTTTCTTCCAAGAGCACGCTCCCCTTCTACATGTAAAATATTAAACCAAGACAAAAAACGGGAGTACTTTGCAAGGAAACGTCCACAACGCAGCCGCACCGCCACCACTACCCCCACGTGGCCGCGGCAAGCAAGGGCGCTCTCTCGCCGCGACCTTCTCAGAAGCCCTCGGCCCTCGTTCTTCTCTCGGGTCTTCAATCAGTTCAGTCATCATCCTGACTTACAACACGCGCGCGTGCGCGTGCGCGTGCGCGCGCTATACACCGGATGCCGAGGACATACCGTAGGTGACACACAAGATACCACACACACACCCCTGGACCGACTTCCAAAGCTCGACAACTCCGAGTATGCCAAAATCGAACGATATGGTTTCGGCGAGATCTCGACGAGACGGTTGAGGCGCCGCCATTTTTGGCGCCGCCACTCCGAGTATTCGAGCTATGAAAATCGGGCAAGGGGATGCGGTACCTCTTTTGCGCCACCTACGGTATATGTGCCAATCGGCCGCCTGTCACCAACCCAATCACTGGGCGGCGCGATCACTCCAATCAGTGGGAGAGCGCGCCGCCAACAAGCCCTCTCGCTGGTGGGACAGCCAGACACAGAAAAAAAGTGCCCACCCAGCAGCCCACGGCATGTTGTACAGCACCACCACGGCTTCCACGCTACCCCTACAACAAACAAACGCCCTGCTGCGGAGGTCAGTCTCGCAACCAACCCGCTTTTCTCCCACCCGCCATGATATACCGCCCCCCGCCCCCCCCTATACCCTATCGTGCCAAGAATGAGTGTGCTGTACAATCATGAGAGACGCTGGCGGCCAGCGTATCGCGATCACGTCCCCGTTCTCAATCAACATCAAGTATTTAGCACGCGATGCCGACTTTACTAAATCGCCCGCGACGCTGTTTTTTCCCTCAGGATGAGGAGGAAAAGAAAGAGGAGGGTAGCCAATTCTTCTCCATCTAACTCACTGTGCACGAGACAGCGAGGAGGGCCGT